AAAAAAAAAAAAAAAATCTGAAAAAACGATATGTTATGAAGAAAAATAAACTAAACAAGATTTGCCTGAGCATTACATCCAAATTCCTTGTCAAATTTAAAATAAATAAAAAATACGAGAAATAAATAATAATAATAAAAATAACAAAAAATAAAAAAAGAATTCAATTTAGCGAGTTCGCGAGCATGTTTTCGACACCGCCATCTTTGATGATTTTTTATTTTTTTTTGAATAGCTAAATGTCCTGAAAATTTACACATGTGTACTTCACATAATGCAAAACACACTAAAAAAGTTTCAAAAAATAATAAAATCGTTTAGGCCCCGAACTGAAGTAATATAAAAAGTAAAAAGTGAAAAACAAACGTGGGCAAACACGTTTTGACACCGCCATCTTTGACGATTTTTAATTCTTATTTGGTTGAGCCAAATGATTTGAAAATTTATAGGCGTGTACCTCACGTCATAAAGAACTCAGAAAAAAACATTCAGAAAAAAAATAAAAAATTATGTCCCTAAATAATTTTTGGCGGGGGCCGAACATCGTCGGGTTCGAACCCCATACGGGACCCCGAACGCCCGTACGTACGGAAGTCTGCCCGGGGACCTCCATACGTACGGGCTGGTAACCCTGCCTACGACGATGTTTGACGATGTAATGAAACTTTCCTTAACTACGTCTAATACACTTTTATTTTTTTCTTGTTGATAATCAAATTAAAAATTAACGACTATTTACTTAAGAATAGACATTCACCATACAGGGTTGTCTAGATGAACATACAGAGGCCCCTAAGCTGACCCCCGAACGTTCTGGCCTTCGGGTTTTCGTATGGGGCCCGAACCCGAAGGGGTTCGGACCCCGTAAAAAATAATTTTTATACTTAAATATTATTATTTTTTTCTCAATTGGTTTTCGTGAGTTCTTTGTAATGTAAGGTATCTTCCTTTTAATCTTGAAGGCGTTTTGTTCAATCAAATAATAATGAAAAATCGGCAAAGATGGTGGTGTCAAAACTTGTTTGCCCACTCACTAATTTATTTTTTGTTTTTTTTTAATTTTTATTTTTTCCTTTATTTTGCAGCATGAAAAAAATTATTATTTTTCAAACATTATTTGTAGGTTCTTTGTTATGTAAGATACACGTATATAAATTTTCATGATATTTGTCAAAGCAAAAAAAAAATGAAAAATTGCCAAAGATGGTGGTATAAAAAATTGCTCACGCACTTAATAATTTAATTCTCGTTTTATTTTTTTATAATTTTTATTATTATTATTTATTTTTTGGATTTGATTTTGATTTTCAATTAGGTACAAACTTTGGATGTAACGTTAAGGCAAATGTTGTTCAGTTTATATATCTGCATGACTTTTTTTTTTTTTTTTTTTTTTTCCGCGTTCGGCCAAACGACTGAACGTGTCGAAAGGGGGTCCTGAACATTCAAGCGTTCGGGTTCGGGCATTCGGGTTCGCGCCGTCCCGAATGCCAACAACTATATATATATATATTATTTAGGTCATTTTAGTACGTTTATAGATGTATTAAAATAATAATGATAATTTGAGTGTCTTTATATTTTTTATCTTAAAGAGATAATTATTTGCAATGATGTTCTTAATTATTTATTATAGTCATTTTTTTTTGCATTGAAAATATATGTTTTCTCCTGTAAATTTTGTTTGTCTTACTACTAGGGTTTAAAAAACGTTTTTATATAATTTAATTATGTTGGTTACTACAGGGTCACCAGCCCATGCGTACAGAGGTCCCCGGGCCAACCTCTGCATATACGGGCGTTCGGGGTCCAAAGCCGACGGCGTTCGTACACCGCCAAATTTTATTTCAGATCCTAAAAATAAGTTTTTTTTTCTGCATTTTTTTTTTTCTCTATGATGTATATATACCCCTAAAAATTTTGAAGTCAATTTGCTAAGCCCCTCCCAAAAAACAAATCGCCAAAGATGGCGGTGTTAAAATGTGCTCGCTCACTCAATATTTTTTTTTTTTTCACTTTTTACTTTTTGTTTTCACTTTATTGGGGGACATAAACAAATTTAGTAGTTTTTGAATTTTTTTTAACGAGTTTTATATTATGTGAAGTACATACTTGTAAATTTTCAGGGCATTGGCTATGCCAAAAAACAAATGAAAAATCGCCAAAGATGGCGGTGTCGAAAACGTGCTCACTCATTCACTATATATATATATTTTTTATATTAGTTTTATTTTCGCTATTTTATTTTTATTTCAACTTTGACAAGGAATTTGGATGTAATGCTCAAACAAATGTTGTTT